TAAAGATAATGCTTCAAAACAAATCGAACAAGCTGTTTATTTCTTTATTCATGGTTTGTTTCTACTGTTTATCTATTTTCATTGCCAACCATCGAAAATGAATTTAGTATGCATTTCACAGAGGAAGTTTGCATAGGAGAACTATGCTTTCTGATGGATCCGTACAATATTGGCACAGCTTTAGGGGCCTAAAAGAGCCCCCACCGGGGGTTCCAGGGCGGAGCCCCAGGATGCTCTCGAGTTAATTTGACTTTAAAGAGCAAGTATCTCTAAGATATAAAGAGAGATTATTTCTTCAATGAAGTGAAAGGACTCTTGAAAATAAAATAGCCCTTTCATTTCATTTTAGAAATAAAGTCTAATCCATCCCTTGATATTTAAATTGCACTGCTCCTACTTCGTGCTTTGTTCACACTCTCCCTGATCTATAAAGGGTGTTTTCTTTATTTGATCATCAACAGAAGCAAAATGCTAGGCCACGAACTTTTCGAAACGTGACCAGATTCAAAGTATGCTTAAATTGGGGCATTAATGTATGTAGAAAAAAACAGGATTAACATCCCATACAACGCTACGAAATTTGAAAAGAAGAATAAAAAAAATAAGACGTTGCATAATGCAATTCGTTTTGGTATTTTATTCCATCTCAGAGTGATTATAGAAGTTATTTTTTAAGGAAATAAAGATAAGGCTGTCCGGGTTTTTAAAGATAATGCGTCAAAACAAATCGAACAAGCTGTTTATTTCTTTATTCATGGTCTGTTTCTACTGCATCTATTTTCATTGCCAACCCTCGAAAACGAATTTATTATGTATTTCACAGAGGAAAGTTTGCATATTGATGAAACATATGGGCGCAGGCCAAGATTTAAACCCACTCAAGTGTGAATTTTGCGCATTTTCCCTCATCTTCTTCAACCAGGAAATGGACTTCATTGTAGCCTTAGAACAGGATGGTGAAATAAAATTGATAAAAGAACATCATAATCAGATTATCCGACCCCGGAAACCCCATGAATTCATCAACTTTTATCATACTGGTCCTTTTCCTTTTGAAACTACGCTTGACCTTTAACTCGGATGGCGGCCATTTTTTATTCGGCCAATACATGACAATACATGACAATAGCATGACAGCCCCAAGGAGACCTGCAATTGATACAAGCAACATCATAATCAGATTCTCTGACCCAGAAAACCCCCTTACTATATAATTTTTTTATTTTTATCATTTTAGCTCTTTTCCTTTTGGAACTACTATTGATCTGTAACTATCAGATGGCGGCCATTTTGGATTTGACCAATGTTACCAGTATGACCCGAGGAGATCTCAAATTGATGAAAGAATATCATAATCAGATTCTCTGACCCCGAAAACCCCATAAATATATAAACTTTTGTCATACTAGCCCATTCCTTTCGTAACTACACTTGATGTGTAACTATCAGATGGCGGCCATTTTGGATTTGACCAATATGACCAGTATGGCAGACCCTAGGAGACCTCAAATCGATGAAAGAACATCAAAATCAGATTCTCTGACCCCCAAAACCCCATAAATATATAAACTATTATCATACAAGCGCTTTTCCCAGAGGGTGCCCTTCTTGGCGTCCGGAAGAAATCGTAAAATTATGGTATAAACTACCTCTGGGCCAAATTTGGTGCTTTTAGAAGAATCTGCACCAAACAACCCATATTTAGCCCTAACAGCCTCCATATCACTGGCGTACTGGTGGGGGGGGGGGGCTTGCAGGGGGGGGGGGGCGCCGGCCCCCCAAATAAAATTGAACTATGACTTATTTTCACAAGTAATGTATAAATGTTCGTGATATCACATGATTTTCAACAAAATGCTAGTTTCTCCATTATTTCTTGCAAACTGACCCATTCCCAAATAGCCAGGAAGAGCATATGTTTTTGTTATAGTCACTAAGGGCCTTATAGTGGCCACTAACAGTAAAACTAATTCATTTCCAGAAGCTTTCGGAGATTTCTTTAAAAAGGGGGTGTTTTTTTCTTTTTTTGCTCTCATCTCTTTGGACTCCTGAGAAATTATTCCGAATTTAGGGGGGGGGGGGTATACATTGAGCATTTTTCATGATTTAGTGGGGTCTCCAAGGCAGGAAAAGCCCGCGAAAGGGGGTTCGGAAATGTTGGCAGTCCTCAGATAGGGGGTGCTTTCAAAAAGAGGGAACAAGCATATGCGTACCCTAAATAACACTGAGTGGGGGCGGGGGGCGGGGAATCGTCTTCTTTCTCTATAAATTTAATGAAACTTAAAAGCTTCCGCGCTTCGCGCAGGGTAAGCGAAAGTGAATTCAGACAAGGGTTAAGAGTAATAATTTATTGAAACGTCAAAGCTTCCACATTTCGCGCGGGCGAGGGAGGGGGAAATTGAATTCAGACAAGATTAAGAGTCGAGACCGGTACAATGAATCGTCTTCTTTCTCTAATAATTAAATGAAACGTCATCGCTTCGCGCAGGATGAGCGAAAATGAATTCAGACAAAATGAATTCTAACCAATCAGAAGGCTTCTTTTTTCCATGAAATGCCGGTGGGCATTAATGCGCCAAATGTGGTTCTAAAATTGCAAAAGATTCTTGGAAGGGGTAGGAGAAAGCGATTTTACGTCATATTACTCCAGGAAGTGCCTGGAAATGCGTCTAATTTGGTTCTAAAGTTGCAAATGCTTGGTCGCTCCGCTCCCTCGCCGTTAAAGCCTCGTTCTGTCGCTTCATCGTTTTACATATATTTCACCCCATGCCATTTTGTGCCCCCCCCCCCGGTAAGAAATTCCTGGATCCGCCACTGATGCTTATACCCTTGAGCTTCGGGGGCTGCGCCCCTTGAACCCCGCCGGGGTTTTGCCCCTAGACCCCACTTTGAGAAACGTTCAGCGGGGCCTGCATGTTAGAGTGAGGTGATTCAGATTTTTTTTGTCAGCCCCCCAAACGTTTTTGCTCGTTACGCCACTGTTGACTATTATGTGTGGACTAGAGTACGGACATTCGGTGCGGCAGGCGGACTATTGGTGCGAGACCTCTTCCGCACGGATTGTCCGTCAGACATTAATTTTGAGGCGCGCACGGAATGTCCGACACGGACATTCTGCGCGGATAAAATCCGCACCGATCGTCCGCTCTCGATCGATCTCTAATAGTCGGACGATCGGTGCGGGTTACATTCTACGCGGTCACACCGGCCCCATTTTCAATAACGGCTCCCAAGCCTTCGGGAATGACGCCAACATTATTTTCCAGATTACTATTCTACAACTCTTTGGAGAGGCCGGCCGGGCACGGCCTTTTCAGAAGTGTTTTAACAAGTAGGCTTAGTATTTAAAAAAAAAACTGAATTCCGACTCACTTTTGCACAACCTACAAATTATAATACGGTCAGTCATCCCCCTCCATACGCTCATACCCCCCCCCCCCCCAGTTTTTGCCTTATTCGTCGTTACCTTCACTTAGTGCCATTTCTTTGTAACTTTCTCCTTAGTCTAACCCGGCTTTTCTCTTCTTATTTATTTATTTTTTTCATTCTCTCTTTCCGTTTCTCTTCTTTTTTCCCCCTTTTCTTTTCTTTTCTCTTCTAGTTCCTATCTTTTTTCCTCTCCTTTTTTTCCCTTTTTTTTCCCTCTTTTTTTTCTTCTCTTTTTTCTGCGCCGCCAATAGGGGGAGGGGCGTTTCGGCCCCCCTGGATCCGCCACTGCCCCTGGTCATGAAAAGAAATCGCCGCCCCTGGTCATACATACTAGGCCTATATACTGATGATCTATAGCCATGATCCACCCTGGCATGCAAACGATCTCGATTCAGTCTATCTCATCTTTTATTAATGGTTGGCACCTTGCATGCGCCCGTCGACTTTACCTTGCATTAATTTTCAACTTGTACTTAGGAGTTTGTTTTTAGTTTTTTTGTTGGTCCTTTTCATCTGAGCAGCAGCAGTGCAGCTGCCCTCTCAATAACTTTCTAAACCTTAATATGCCATGTACTTTCTCCCTCATTTCCTTTTTCTCCTAACTCTCGCTTACCTTCCTCTAATTCACCACCTTCTCTCCCTCTCTCTCCTTTTCTTTCTGTTACTTTCCTTTCCTTTTCCCCTTCTTCTTTCTTTTCTCTTTCGAGTCTCTCTGTTTCTTCGTATGCATTTGAATAGTTTGGTATGATTGTATTTATATTATAAATTTTGTATAAGTTGTGAAATGTTTATGTATGTATCTCCTGGAAGGAAAGTTTCTTCATTCTTTGGAAGAAGACAATGAAATTATATACTATTCTATTTTTATATTCTATTACTATGTCTTATTTTTTGCACATTATGCGGTAAACTATGATTTGCATGTGGTCTGCATAATGATTACAGAGCATGTAAATACATTTGTATAGTGAAAATAGAGTTGCAAATTTTCAAAGCGCTATCCGGCTAGGAATATAGACCCCCCCCCCCCCCCCCTGGGTCAACAAACTTTTACTCGATACGCAAACACATGACGCAGAGAGGGAAATATTGGATAGTACACTGTCGCTCATATAGTTGGATTTTTTTTTTCTACCCCAATAATATTTATGGAATTATTTTGACAATGATTTATTCCTAATAGATCTAGATATACATTCTCAGATTTTATTGCTTAATAATTTGCCAGTGTTTGTTTTGCGTGACTGCTAAAGCATGTGTATGCTACTATGCGTATGAACTTGGGGACCTACGCCCATAAGTCATACATGACAATAATGAGTATTAATGCTCCACAAAAGGGCACTAATATAGCACATCGACACGGTTTTGATCCTGGGGCCTCACAGTTACGAGGCCATTGCTTTTCCACAGAACCATGAGTGTACGCAACGGGGGCTAGGGTAGGGGGAAGTTCCCACAAATAAAAAAAAACGAAAATGCAATCAATTATCATTAATTCATTGAATTTCACCCCGGTCCCCAACAGAAAAAAAAACTTCTGTGTGTCCATGCCTTGTACCATAATGACTGGGCTGGTGAGCATAATTATGAGTTTGTTGATAACGCCATCTTCGACGGCTTGAATCAAGTGTGTAGGGCAGATTGGCAAGCAGTGCTCTCTTTTTGTAGGTAGCGTATAGCGCGCGCTAGCTAGCTCGCTTACGTCATCACGCAGCTGTAGTATTAGGACAAGACTTGTACTAGACCGACCGAGATACTACCAGCCGGGTCATTATATCAGTCTAGGCTAGGCCTACTAGATCTATATCTGTTCTCTTGCGGAGTGAAAGGACCGATAAAGATCACATTCAGTAAGTCTCCATGTTTCGAATTCCACTACCGAAATTGTTCGAAAATGTATATTATTGTCAAATTATGACCCGAGTTCTAAAGTAGACTCTCTAGATTCGGGTTACGAAAGGCCTAACTTGTTAAAGTTAGATCTACGGTAGGCTAACCACTCCAGCAAAGCTTAGCCTAGGCCTAGAGCCAAGTGATGCCTAACTTCTTAGAAGGAAAGGGAACGAACTAGACCCTAACTGTAAAAACAAAGATGAACTGTTAATAAGACAACAGCTTCCAGGAGGAAGAAAAAAAAAAGGCATCCTCATTGTTGATAATAATGATGTTAGACCTAACTTAGATCTAGATCTAGATCTAGAGATCTATAGATTCTAGGTCTAGGTCTAGTCTAGAATCTATATACTTTTTATCATTTTTATGTCCTAGAGTATAACGTTAGTGTAAGCTATTCATTTGTTTGTTAAACGCCACACCATTATCTTTTTGGAAAATTCAAGGATGTGTCATAATGCACAAACATTATGATTCAGTCCGCTACAATTAGTTATCTTGCAGAAAACGTAGAGGGCACAGTAAGCTTTTGGGGCGTAAAAGCTCAGAGCACGATTATGGACGCACCATGCGTAATACAGCTCTCGTAGACTATAAATAGCTGTGTTTTACAGTGATTTCGTCACTTCAACGCTGGCTCTCGTCGTTGTCGGGTAGCGAACTCTCCACTCCTCTCCAACTGAGCTAAAAATAAAATAAGGAAAAGGATTGGAAACGAGAAAAGAGTTCCTACAAAAGGAAATCCCTGCTTTTTACTACTTCAGAGATTAATCCAGGTAATCGGTGTCGGTGTTGATTATGATAACATGTTTGAGAGGTTGACTTAAATATTTCTATATTAAAGTATGGAAATTATCATACAGTTAAACAATCTATCATTTCATAACGTGCAATTAATTGAGTCTCCATAGACTTACCCTCTCATAGAGAATACATGTCCAGCTATCCAAAACACCTCTCATCTCCACACCCATATACTTTGGGAAAACGGAGCCACGTCCGGGGCCTCTAAACTACAAGCCAAATAGAAACCGCTCGCATTATAGTTAGGATGGCAAACTCTTCGTCAGATGACGATGATAGAGGCAAGGGACAGGCCAGCCCTCCAGCATCCAGGACCCAATCTAAGATGGAGGGCCATCACAATATAACGAAAATGAGATTTGTTCAAACTTTAAGAATAGTTAAGTAAAACTTTAATTTAAGTGAAATACTTAAGTGAATAAATCATAACTATAGAGCCAGGTAGAGGATTTGACCGAAATATCATAATTTTGGTTAGGTCTGAGTCGGTACGGTCAGTCACACCGAATCCCGACCGTCGCCGTCGGGTCCCAGTTTCGATTTCGTTTTTTCGAAATTGACGCTCCAAAAAATAAAAATGAAGTAGATCTATATAAGAAATTACACACCACTAAAATTAATCCACCTTAAAACTTAAATATTTAATTTTTTACCAATCAAATTCTAGCTCATTCTGTATCAATCCGAACTGCCAATATAAATATGGGTTGCAAAGCAGTTAGCTGCATGGGGCTGTTGTTGACAGCACAGCTAGCTAGCCACTGTACTGGCCGCCAGGTCTCGGCAGGATGAATAAATCGGGTTTAAAAAATGTTAATGTTAGAATGATAAAACGGCTTTCTAAAAAATTCTTCTTTACAACATACTGATGGAATAATTTTTTTGAGACAAAATAAATATTTCTCTCTTATTTTTGCCCCAGTTTTTTAACTTTTAGAGGCATGATAATGGCACTTAACATCGCCAATCATGGATGAAAATAATGACAAATGGGAGAATATACCGATCTGAGCCATTGTACGCATGTGTTGATTGATAAAAAAGGTTACTTTTAAGTGACATATACTGATGATATGCGCTATTTATAGAGGCAAGTAACAGATCCTGTTAACTGACTTCGGGACACCGGGTCCCAACGGCCTAGCACCAATCGGGACCCGGTTTATAAAATTTCTGACATGACTCGGGCTTAATTTTGGTATCGAAATAGACAGAAAATTGCAAGCTTGCTCCTTGCACAAATATCTTATAGCATTGAGTGAATGGAGAATAGTGATAGCCAATCTAAAGGGCCCATGTCGGCTAGGCTAGGCGCCAACTTACAAAAATGAGGCTGAGATCGGATAAACGATCTGCGCATGCACTAATTGTAAGCTTAAGTTTTATGTGTAGGCGTCATGGCATGCGCCTGTAATCCAGCTGACAATGGAAGTTACAAACTGATTTAGCTGAGGACGCAGGTTCGAAACTGAAGTTTTTTTTTCTTTTTTTTTTCTTCTTTTTTTCTGTTATTTCTGTTGCAGAGGGCGCTACACAAAATCGGTTCAGAGACAGCTGAAATATAACGATTTCTAATACTCGTGTACCACCACAATTTATTATTAGATATTTTGAAAAATAAAAAAACCGTAAAAAACCCCGAAATAATGCCCTTTACGTCGTATTTCAGCCAAAGCTGATGTTGGCTTTTTTGTTGGAAGTTTTGTGTTGCTTATTTTACCCACAATTAGCCGGCTCATGTATTGTTATTTTTAATTATATAATTAATTAACGGTCACCATGTTTAAAAAAAAAGTTGAACTGAATTGGCATGATCGTATTGGCTAAATTTCACACATTTTGGGGTCTTAAATTACCTTCATAGCAATTTTAGGTTCTTAAAGGGCACTGTAAATGTCATAGATAAGAATAAGAGCAATAACCATGCACTTTGAAGGCATTTGCGGTCGGAAAACAGAACTCAACTATCCCTTTAAAATTAGTGTTGTAATATCACGGATATTTCCAGTTCCATTTGAACGTTAGTTAAAACGGTTTTTGGTTAAACGAAAAATTAATTACTTTTACCAAGGTTTGATTGCCTGGTTAATAGTAAGAATATGGTCGGCACTGGGCAGGTCCGAGGCCGACCAGCACGGGGGATTTTCGCCCACCATTCCTGATGAAAAACACTGCTTACATCCGGCACTAATTTCACATGAAAACGTAATGAAAAGTACTTGTAGTACATGTACTTACATCTTGTTTTATTTGCAATTGTACAAGAATCATGATTTCAATTTGATATTGAAACATTACTTTTCAATATTTCAGAGTGAGGCTACAGATGAAATAGAATAACAATGGTAAAGTAAGAGAAATAACTAAAGAGGAGATGACAAAACAGGCACTTAGGTCCCTGCCCACTTCCTTTTTGGGGGCCGCCTTCCTTTTTAATTAATTTTTTTTTAATGTATAAAACATCAAAAACCTACTGCTAAAATTAGCTATTTCTGGTTTTAAAAATATTTTTAAAAATCCGGCGGCCATCCTGAAAAATAGCCCGACTGTCAGGGAAAATGTACCAAGCGGCCATTTCAGAAAAAAAAGGGAAAAAAAAGGACTGCCTCCTTTCTATTTCTCAAAAAGGCAGGACGCTGAACATGTTTTGTTTTTTAATGGCTTTATTTTCAAGTTGCATGGGAGTTAGTCCAGAATCTGGCCTATTTAATTTTGATCTCCACCACACCAATACAATATGCGGCCTACCCCTACTTACATGCTGCCAGCCGATGAAGGGGTGATCATTAAATTAGGAGGCTGGCTGGTGAGCATAATTACGTGTTCGTTGATAGCGCCATCTTTTTGGCTTGAATCAAGTGTGTAGGAAATATATGAAGAACTGCAGGGAATGTAAGGGCGGGCTCATCGCACCTCAGTACAAGTGCGAGTGAGTAGCCCGTTTCGCGATCGCCGGCCCTGTAATCTGAATTACTAGGCTAGCTCATCACACCTCAGTACAAGTGCAAGTGAGTAGCCCGTTTCGCGATTGCCGGCCCTGTAATCTGAATTGCTAGGCTAGCTCATCACACCTCAGTACAACTGCGAGTGAGTAGCCCGGGATCGCAAAACGGGCTACTCACTCGCACTTGTACTGAGGTGTGATGAGCCCGCCCTTAAACATGTATGTTTGCATCGCAGCAATTGCGATTCATAAAAAAAGATGTGTAGCAAATGGCTGAAAATGCGTCGCAAATTGCGATGCGATACCAGGAAAATTATTCTCTGAACTGGCCAGATTCTGGATTACGTTGGGAGTGGGCTCTCATAGGGAATTTGACACCATGCGATCGTTTACAGTACCTTATAACAGGTGTTGTTAGTCACCAGGATTAGCCTTCAGTCAGCAACAGAGGGATGATTCACTAACAGCTCAAATTAATCCCAAATACCAGTAGGATAAAATTGCTCTTCTAGGCTCAATATCACTCCTAGCAATATCGCTTTGAGAAATTACTGATTCACTAGCATTGAAATCGCTATCAAGGCTAAGAGCGATCGCGATCACTTTTAACAACACTTTCTGGCAAAGGCAAAGACAAAAACTGTCAACCTGAAGCTAAATTACAAACACAAGGAAGATATATATTGTTAGTCACTGTTTAAGTGATATATCAAATCGTTTTGATTTATACTATGATAGGGTAGGCCGAAGTTAGTGCTATGTAAAAGACTAGAGAACTTGGATTCTACATCAAGACTGTGGTCTGTAAGATGATCACCCCCACAGCCTTAGCCTGCAGGCTAGCCTGGCCCCAGCCGCGTGAGCTAGGCAAACGCTAGCTGGGGACGGTAGGTCTAACTTGCGTACATTACGTACGTTGAATCCGGCAAGTTACTTGAAACATGCATAAAGAAAGACAAACTATACCCACAGAAAATCATATTAATCCTCACACTGCTAAATGAGACAGTCACCTAAGACCCCGTTCTCACCTATTCCTAGACCCATTCAGCTGGTCGCTCAGAGGTTCACTTCGTTTTATATTCACACTCACGAGCTAAAACGCTCTTTTTGCTATGTTATAGTGCGAACGAGCTAGACCTCTCCAAAGTAGCAAAGGTCAGCGGGTCATTTGTTTTCGTGTGGAATTTAAAACCGAATACAGTGCCTCATCTTCTGCTATATTTTGTTATTTTTGTCATTCTATAATAATAATAATAGATCACATTTATAACACACCTAATACATTGTTTCTAGGCGCAGTGGTGCTGTTGTCCCAGCAGCCATTATTGTGAAGCAATATCCTTACACAAAATAAAGCCGGGACGACAGCACCACAAGTACACAATATTATTTATCATTTTTATTTTATGTTTTTCTGCAAAGTAGACAAAATTGGTTAAAATAAACCTCTTCATGGCAACCTGGAGGTTTTGAAAGTGGGAATGAGAAAATTCTAAGGTGATTCCGCTGCCGGTCAAAAAGAAAAGTGCCCTTAAACAAATGGAAGGACAGACACAAGATTAGCCAAATTATAGTAAGGATTATGCTTAGTGCTTGTGTACTATCAAGATTGATGGAGAAAAGCAGATCATGTATTTTTAGCATATCGTAGTATAGCAGAATATGTGTTTTAAACAAAATTACTTCAAAATTACTGAGGTATCGGAGGCTCAATGCATCATGAGAATGTATATTGCTATATATGCGGTAGCGAGAATTACATGCACTGTTATATATGTATGTTGGATTGATTGATGTGTAAGTTGGATACATGTCTCCTAGCTATCCCACCCAATTACTAATAGTATGATTCTGTATTGATTTGTTCTAGCCTGTCTATGGAATACATCATCAAGGCAATCATCAGGGGGTTAGTCTTTCCGATCTTGAGAACATTTAGGTGGTAAGTTTGATTCATTTGGATTAATTAGGATTATTTAGTCAGAATCATAAATCTGTCTTTGTTTTTTCAATCTTTCTTTCTTTCTATCTTTCTTTCTTTCTTTACATTTTTTGCATTAAAAATTGTCTAAAACGGACCATCCAATCACCCTAAATTTTTAACCTCTAATTCCCCTTCGTCAGAAATAGGTAAATAGAAAATTTGACCATCCGTAGAAAGTCCTGAAAAAAGAATAAGGAATAATGAGAAAGTTTCATAGATTAGATATATAACAAATCCAGACTTGTAAAACAGCTACCGGTAATCTTTTTTTAATTATAAATAGATTGCCTGAGAAGCAACAATAATCCTTGACTTAAAATTTGTAGATATCAAAGGGAAAGTTCACCCTTATATTAAGTTGATAAATGCAGAAAACTTTGAGAAAAGATTAGTAGAAGTTTTTGCACAAAAAAATGTAAAAAAATAAAAGTAGAATACCCCGGTAGATGAATTTTCATTTGCAGTCCAAGCATAAAATTGTTATAAACCAGAGCATTATAAGACTGAGTTCCTATAGGTAACCTATATATTCAGGATGATCATATCTCAGCCCATACTTAACATTCCGGTATTCAATTTTTTTCTCGACATTTGGACATTATTTTTTTATGCTTTTTCGGAAAATGAAGAAAAAATTGAGAAATTCACAAAATAGATTTTTGATGACGTCACACTTCACTACTCTTTATCCCCTCTACATTTTTGCTGGTTAGGAGATTTTGGTACTGGTACATCAATATCCTGCCAGAGTTTATATTTTAGAATGTCACCTGGATTGTAATTAAAAATAGACCTACACTGTACATGCAGGTACCCAGATATTAGGCTACATGTGTGTAGAGCTATAATGAAGGAAGATTTTCACTTTTCCAAATCGAGTCTGAAGCAGCAAATGTACCCATAGATAATGAATAAGATTTGGGAACAGTTCTGTATATGGTACTGTTGGAAAGTATTATATTAACATGAGAGGAATAACAAGAGTGATAGTGAGGTAGGTGATGACTACATTAGTACATTGTCCATTAGCAGTTGTTTCATGTTTCAAGTTTTCTAGTGCTATATCTCTCCTTGTGCATTTTGTTTAAACTTGGAAGAAATTTGCAATACATAACTACATTTGCTACAGGAGATATAATGGATACATGAGAAGATTATTCCTTAAAATGCTTTGTGCATTGATAAAGCCTTAGGTTGCTGTGTGGAATTTGTTGCATAACGTTTCTTGAATGAACTTCACTGAAATCCATCCAGTTGATATGTTGTTGTACTTCTTGTAGATTTTATGGCAACTTTATTGTTTATATAATATTAGTTTCACTTCATAGATCTGTACATAACACTAATGGTTTTTATAGCTTTGTTATTGAATATGGATTGTTTCTGTCTGTGTGTAGCTAGTCAGTTACAACAATGATTTTAATGATATCATCTGCTGCGAGCCAGAAAAGCATTGACTTTGTGTTAATTGGTGTTTAATAGGGCTTTTCCTTTGTAACAATATGCAATCAAACTATTCCAGTACAGGTTATTGTTTTACCTCTTTGATAGGTTATTTGTTGTTACAGGGTTTTGATAAGACAATATGTTATCAAACTATTTCAAATAATTGATTAGTTGATTGAATTAGTTTAAAGGTAACTGTATCCCTTTTGCAGCCAACATCAAATTCTGTAGAACTTTGCAGGCATTATGAATATGTAATGTAATAAGGTACCGGTATGTCCTATCTTTGAAATTTAATTGTTAGCAGTGTCCTAGTATTTAAATTATGCAAGGAAACCTGTGGATCAGGATAAAAATCAACAAGTAATCAATTATCAATCATTTTGTCAAAAATTGCCAGTAATTGGGCGTCATTTTGTGATCATTACAATAGGTTATTTGGGAGCCAGATGTCGGGCATGCAACCATCGGGGCCTGGCAGTCTCCAGGCTTCCACCAGGGAGCAGCTGCTCCATCAATGCCAGGAAGCGCCCGTCAGGAAGGTCCCTCTCCTACACAGGCAGTTCAAGCAATTGCCCTTGGCGACGACGCGGCTGGGGAACGATGAGCCGGATTCTGTCGGTTGTCAGAGTAACGGAAGCGCAGCTGATACCAAGCCTGATGCATTGCCGGCCAGGGATGCTAGGGTGAGAGTGATGGCATGGAACATACTGGCTGATGGTGAGTGCATCAAGTGGGCCATACCCATTGTTGATTAACCTTTATGAATTATATATCTATATATATATAGCTCAAAGTCGAGTGTACTCTATGCCTTTTCCTTGAACTCGCTTAATAATGTTGACACAGATGACCTATATGTAGAGAGCACAGAGATTTGCTTACTTTCTCTTTCTTTTTAGTAAAGTTGGGCTCAAATAAAGTTCAAGATGGTGCTGTGGACCGTGTACACGTGTATCAGTATACACCCAAGAACTACCTCTACACCTGTAGAAAATTCACTTCACGGATAAACGAAAAGAAAAAAAATCACCTGTTTTTCAGCATTATAAATGGCCAAGGTCAATATTTCACAAAAATATCTGTCATCAGACTAAAATTAAAGGTTAAATTCCAATTTCCAATGCTACTTCATTATAAAATAACGCCAAAATCATTGCGGTCTGACTTTCCCATGAGTACGATGGTTTTGTGTGCGGTACTGTTACTACAGTAACAACTTTTTCAGAGAAAATCCTTGTTCCTCGTCGTGTAATGTTTTCCCTGAGCGCGAACGCATGCTGGTTTCCATTGTTCGTTTGTTTTAGTACATAAAAGATAATACTGCAAATCATTGCAGCGTTTAGGACTGGTCTTGCTTGGCTGAAATACTGCTTTTGTTTTGGGGTCTTAGGGAGATGGTATTTTTTCTGAAATCCTGTGGTCCATACAGTTTACAGTGCGTCCCAGAAAAAAACCAAACCGAGAATTATCGATATATTATCATAACTTAATCACAATAATAATTAATAAATGACACATAATTTGTAAAGCTTAGATCCTCTTCTTTCATTTGATGCAACTCATATGATGCATATTTCATGCATGAGTGATTGAAATTAATTTGAAGAAAGGGTACCAAAAAGTCATTTGGCGGACGGTATCTGAATTTCAAAGAGAAAATGACTTTTCTAGAAAGTTCATTTTCTGCCCTTTCATATGACACCTCAATCAGGAAAAATGAGCTAGGAATAACAAAGTTTTGTTTGCTTAATGTAATGCTTGCATTTACATAATTTTATTAAACAAATTTGTTTTCACTGGCTGCCTGCCGTAGCGACAAACTGAATTGACAAAAGACTTAACTCCGTTTCATTGACTATCAGCCATGCATGATACCGTCCGCCAAATTACTTTTTGGTACCCTTTCTTCAAATTGATTTTAATAACTCATGCATGAAATATACATCATATGAGTTGCATCAAATATAGGAGGAGGAGCTAAGCTCTACAAATATGTGTCATTTATTAATTATAATTGTGTTTAAAGTATGATAAAACATCGATAATTTTCAGTTTGGTTTTTTTCTGGGACGCACTGTAAACTGTATGGACCACAGGATTTCAGAAAAAATACCATCTCCCTAAGACCCCAAATAGCGATAATTATACCATTTCATACCTTTACTTTCAACCCGCAAAATTGCCCTACCAAAATCAAGCCTCTTGAGTACTGTGAGACTAACAGTTCTGTTTCAAGGAGCTTACAATATAAATTAAATAAAAATCATGATTTTTTAATGAATTTTCTCTCATTATAAATCATACGTGTATACATGTATATGTTGCTTTTATAACAAGGATAAATGGTGCATATTTTCACCGGTACGTATGTTTTTCTTTTCTTGCTGTCCAGCTCTGAGTATGGGAGCAGATAACTTCATTAAGTGCCCCAAAGAATCGTTACTGTGGGACAACAGGAAGTATGCCATCATAGAAGAGATTCTGACCTATGACCCGGATGTGGTTTGCCTACAGGAAGTGGATCACTACGAGGACTTCTTTCTTCCCGTCCTTCAGCAAGTAGGATACTCAGGGGCCTTTAACCCCAAACCAGACTCACCTTGCTTAGACTGTTTGGACAACAATGGTCCAGACGGATGTGTTGTCTTTTTCAAGACGGACTGTTTCAAGCTTGTGAAAAGTGAGCTTCCAAATCTGGAAGTGGACTACAATGGTAAGAAGTTTGTGTCCAATCAGGTAGCGGTGATGCACCATTTGAAATGCATATCGGAGAAGCTTCTGGATGAGGAGTTCTGCATAGCAACCACTCACCTGAAGGCCAAGCATGGTTACGAGACGATGCGGGCCAAGCAGGGGCAGCATCTCATCGAGGTCCTCAAGAAGTGCTCCAAGAATCTACCTCTCATCGTCGGCGGTGACTTCAATGCAGAACCCACTGAAGATGTCTATAGCGTGTATGAGACCAGCGATCTCAACCTAGCCAGCGCCTACAAGAAACTAAGTGAGGATGGAATGCAGGAGCCGCCATATACAACGTGGAAGATCCGTCCAAGAAGAGAAGAATGCCACACTATAGACTACATGTGGTACACGCAAGAGCACCTAGAGCCGGTGGCCCTCTTGAGGTTTCCTGGAGAGAAGGAAATTGGTTCTGAGAGATTGCCGTCCTGGAGTTATCCATCCGATCATCTGTCGTTGGTGTGTGACTTTGTTTTCAAGGGGACTTGAGTATGTCTGTGTGCAATGATGTAACCAAAACCCATCCATGCCACCAAAGTTTAAATTACCTGTGCTTTTTTTTGTTGTTAATGTTTGCTGTAGAAAGCACCCAAAATCATTCCTCACCATCGTGCCAATCACAGATATATTAATAAAAATGTCATTTATCAAAGATGTTTTATTGGATGAGAGATTCCAACTGCACTGCCTTGAATAATAATTGCAATGGCTGCTTAATAGTTGCATAGTAATGACTAAGTGCTTCAGATATTTATATAATGTATATATATATATATATATGCAACAATATTTATACAACCATTCTTCTTGTGAAGTGAAGCCAGCTGCTATCTTTATAGTAAACATGAGTTGTAGAGCACATTTTGTGCATTCATTCATATGTCATTATTTATGATGGAAATATAGTTTTTGCATTTTCCTTTTGTATACTTATGCCAAACAATATTGGCTTAGTAAATGGAATGTATAAAAGCAGTGCATTTCCCTTGTAAAATTCAACAAATATTAATGATACCGTTTTAAATTTTACCTGACAGCTAAGAAAGCAACTTTCAATTGTACGTACATTTAGTAGATTACTGGTAGTAAACAGCGTACAAAAGGCATAAAGTCGATGAGACTTAACAGCTATTGCAAGACCACTGTACAGTAACCTATAACAGAATTAGTTCCCTAGATGTTACTCTACTTAAGGTAGTGTTTGTGTGTACTGTACACTGTACACATTGTAATTGCAATATGTCACTACTTGATTCAAGCATTGTTTTGTTGGTGCTTTTTGGGGACTTGGGAAAGAGATTTGTTTAAGCTCTGTGGTTAAATGGTTTGATTGTTTCAGAAATACATTTTTTGTGTGGCGTTGACCTGTTTTATATTTGTTTATTTTGAAAGCAGGAAAGAAAGATACATAACTGTAGCTTATTGAATGCTAAAACAAAGAAATTCTTTGGAAATGCATGGTAAATATTCCACAATGATTCCCCAACATTCGTAATGAGTTATTCTGTGTTGTGTGAAATACAGGGCGTACTATTAATAAACAGTTTACCCAACTTTGGTAGCTCCTAATTGAAAAGTTGTAACCAATATGACTGTGGACTTGCTTTCATGATGAAAAATAACTTATTTTTTGTCCAATGATACCCTATTTATGCCACGGTTCAATGAGCTCCAGGGTCTTTAAAAGACTAAAAGTGTTGTCAAAATCACCTTGTTCCAAGTTTGGGCTTAAGGAACCAATGTGGGTCAGGCCATACATGCATGTGCTTCTTTGTTTTTATATCTTTTTAAAAGGTTGTATTGTGCCTCATGCTTCAGTGCTTCATTGTTTAAAATGATGCAACGATACTAGGCTGTCATTGAACCTTATTTCAATCCATAGGATAATCTTTAATAAACAGCCTACTAACTTCTTGCTTCATGATATCTAAGTTCTCTCTGCTCACTTGTCCACTGCACCATTTCACACGCGTAAGGAGCATAAGGTGTTTATCTTGAATAGCGAGGTTACTAAACCCAAATGCAAGAAAGAACATTTATTATGATAAACATCAAATAAATTGACAGCAAAAACGATAACATCCCAGATAAATTGTATTCATTTTGTATCACTCAATGAGAAGGTTACATTGAACAAGGGACGTGAAATTGCGAATAAAGGCAAGATTGTAATCATCATGACGAAGAGGATGTCATAAATTTTGCTTGTAATAAGAATTTCTTTGAGTTTGAATTGATGTTAGCACTTTTTTTTCAGCTGCCTAATAGTCATTGTAAATAAAGGAGCAATTCTTTAAAAATGAGATAACACACACATACCGGTAATGGCTTTTGACCCACATTCATTGCTTCAGCCCAAACTTGGTACAAGAGGATTTTGACAATAATTTTTGAAAATCCTGCTGTTCAGTCATCCTTGGCAGCACAATTTTGAAAATGGTATCATTAGACAGGGCATTAGTTCTTCTTTACAGTAACATGATTCATGATTTTTTTTAAAATCGCACTGTGTAACATGGTTCTTATTCAATTTGGGTGCGGATGTAAATAATGTTTGTGATACAATTCTGTATTCTTTAGTATGTACATGAATGTTTATTGTTTTTAGAGGAAGCTCATACATGTCAGTAAGTGGAAATTCATCTTTTTGCTTCACTTTTCCTCATCATTAATGACCGTCTTTCTTGATTGATTCTTAAAGAATTTCTTCTTTGATTTTAAATTGTATATGGGAACCAAATATTTGATTTATTTGTGTGATACATATATGTGCATGGACTCATAGAGCATGGAAAGATGATGTGGGTGTTTATCCTGTCCAATCGTCATTTCCTAAATTAATTTTTCAGACTATCTTCGTGATAGTTTATTTCAAATTGAAAATGTAAACTAAGAGGTTTATCGTATTGTTACGTTAATTTTTTTATTTCAAATGATATTAAACTTTCTATACCGGTAATTGTTATTTTCATGTCTTGACCGATTATAAGTAAATGTTAGTAGAAGGATATATAAAAAAAACTTTGAAACCAGAAACTTGAAAATGATGTTGAGAAATAGATTGTAGGCCTGATAATTACCTGATTAAAAAAAAAATCTTTTTTTTTTCTTCCCGATTTTTCCCCTATTTTTTCCCCAATTTTCTTACTCAAGGGGAGGTGGTTGAGAAAAGAAAAGAAAAAACTCAATATCACCCATGACATTGTTTTTTAATACGTATATTCTTTAATGGCTTACAATACTTTGATTTCAGCAAATTTTTTGCTGATGTTTTTTAAAAACAGGCATCATGATTATGAAGGAAATTAAGTTTGTGTACATTTTTTATCTATCTTGACCGTTGATTGGACCCATTAGGAGAATGGTGTTGGTGCAGAATGGCATGAGCACAAAACAATTGATGAGTGCTTGATGATACCACCAAGCTTCTCCCTGAAGACAGACCCGCATGGTTGGTATTCATAATAAGATCCATAGGTACATTTGTGGAGCATGAATATTGAGCATGAAAATTAACTCCCCTTTCTTATTATTCTTCTAAGAGAAAAGTCTTAGCAAAAATGTGTAATCTAAAAAAAAACATTACGGGCTGAAAATATTGCTCTAAAAGTTAGTGAATATTCTTAAAAGTTTATCTAATAAAAAGTGTTAAATAGCTCGTTGTATTCTAGTACAATGGAGATATCTCAGATAAGAAAAAGTTTTACCCTATATTTCAGCATACTACTGAGGATGGTTAAATATCTTGCTGGGCTGTGCACTATCAGTTGGCCTATATCCACAAAAGCTACGCATGCTTGTATACCAAAGATCTAACATTTACTGATATGCATGGATGCCATAGCACTGCTTATAAATTATGAATTAACTTTTGCTAAGAAGTTATTTCTTGGTCCTTAGAATTAAGATTTGGTGACAGAGAATGATGCATCATCGGCATACTGTTAGATGAGACAAAACTTGTTTATGAGTGTGATGTTGAATCTAGTTGTTTTATTATGTCTAGAACAGTTGTAGGTCTGATGTTAACTTCATGGTCCATGGAGAAGAGGAAGGTAAATGATGAGAATGTGTGACCAAAGAAGCTGTACAAAACTGTAAAGCCTGAAGAAAGTTTGTCCACAGAGTCACCATGCAGTATTCAAGGATGACTCAACGGCACCTAAAAACCATGTGTGTGTTTCCACGGCTGAAGGGTCAATTACATATAGGTACACATTTATGTTCTCGTACTGTTTCCATAATACAAATACTTTGATGAGGCTGTCTTTTCATGATTAGGGGACATGAAAACTAGTAAAGAACTGATTGGAGTCATACTCAGGAATATCTACTGTAATATGCATTATGTGAATGATTCTGAAGGTATTTAGTATTCTGTGTCCGATATGTTATGAAGTATTATGACATAATGAGCTCTAAAATTTCCTATATGTGGTTGGATACAAGCTCTCTGATGACTATCAAATCAATACATTCACCATGCATACACTGAAAATCATTGATGTAGTTTGTATCTGACAAACCTTGGAGTTGCCTTTTTCCTTTTTATGAATAAAATATGAGTTACATGTAATTAACACTTCATTGTTACTGCAGTACATCCTACTGAGGTAAATACATGTAAGCAAAATATCCTTCATTTACATTTTGTTCTAAATGATTCATTGCTGAAAATGCTAATATTACATCGGAATATTAGTTTAATATTCTTTTCATTTAAATGATAACAATTATGGTATATTTTAGTATATATCAGACCAGTGAAAAATATTTTGTGGTTAATATAGGCACTATCTTTTGAGCGTTGATTTTTTAATTTTAATTACCTGTATTTTTTATTATTATTATTATTTTTTTTTTTTTGGGGGGGGGGGGGATATGTGATAATAGAAGTATGATTGGATAAATGACAATATTCAGTTTTAGAGCATTATTGCTGCTTGCTGTATTTGTAAATTCATTAAAAGATTTAAACTTCAACTTATATGTTACAAAGTGTAGTTCAGAGCCACGTCTTATAAACAGTTGCAATTAATTGCAACTTATTTGTGATTGATATCAATTGAAACAATGCACATAAGAGATAGGTGACTGCAAATTTGCGATAGATTAAAATTTATTGCAATTGTTTATAAGACCGGGCCCTGGTTGTGGTTAAGAGTCGTATGGTCATACCACTCTTGTTTATCACAAATGATATATCAACGGGTAAATAAGGATGTTAGGTTCCTGTACATATACAATTGATGTAGTATTACACGACAGCAGAAGTAAAGTTTATATTTATTATGTGATAGATTCATAGTTTTGTCAAGCAAGTTGTACATAATTATATATGTGATAAACATTGAATAGAAACCATCAGTTTGAATGTATTTGTGGAAATATGTATATTTTTAGATGTGTATAAAGTGACAACATATACCCGTCAAAGAAATATTTGCACCCAACGTTCAGTGCCATGTGCCTTCCCTGTATTTCATATTGATAATATGAGTCTTGGAATCAACCCCACCAAGGCAAGCAGTGCTGCTGCCTTTCCTGGCCTTTATTAGCAACAATTTTATACAAGGACCCATTTTGACATTAGCTTCTCTGCTTTTGATATGTAATGCAGGGTTTAGCGGATTATGGTTAAAATTATATTGGCGGTTACAAGGTTTTTGTTAAGACTTTGCTTATGTTCCGTCATGTTATAATATCTAATATTGTCTGCTTAGAGCATTAAATCTGTGGAAAAGTAGCAATTTTCCATCTGGCTCTCAGTATATGATACCTATATACTGTTTATTGAGGATGTGTAAGCCAGAGATTGGTTTGTCAGACTTTGCAAAGGGTAGCTTTTTCACAGACAACAGATAATTCATAAAAAGTGTACCGGTATTCATAAGTATGAGACAATGTTGGCCTAAATCTTGGAAGTTTTGGCCACCCCATATTGGTGTTGAAACCTTATAGCAAGGTCTGTGAAAATGAAGGACAAGAACAAGCTACTCCAGCTTTCAAGATAAAACAAAAACAAAGTATGTTCATATATTTACAATTCACAGAAGGTAAATATAGCCTTTTTAGGGGAAATTTAGTATTTGTTGGAACATGTAGTCGATTTCAGATTTTGTGAAACCTTTCTCTGTACCAGTCACCTGCAAACCTTTTGCTCTGTATGTCAAGAGTCCATGTTGCTATACTATACTCCAGATAGGAGCATCAAATATGACTTCTATAATGTGATATTGCAAGTTACTTTAAGTACACTAGTCAACTAACCTGTACAAGCTCGCCTAGAATGGGCTGCATGGAACCCAAATCTGACTGGGGTTATTGCATCCAATTAAGCCGGCTGTTACACATTGTTGCATGTGTGATGGTGGTATAATAATGCAGAGATAACCCTGTCTGGCTTCTTGCTCTTGTATCTACAAATGTAGCTTCATACCATAGCAGAGGTACAATACAAAAATTATTTAAAAAAAAAAAGTCTGACTGGGGTTCCGTTTTATGTTATCCTTTTAATATTTTCTTGTGGTTGCTTTTATACATTCTAAGGCTGCACAAATAATTTTTTCTAGGTGATTGGTACATTTTAAAACCAGACATTCCTGTCCCTGGACAGCTGATTTAATAACACAGTCATACTTCTGAATACTGACTATACAGTCTCCTTCTTTCGACTGCTGCTTAAATGTGTGCTAATCGATAATAAATGAACTAAGGATGCAAATTGTGCAAAATGTGTAGGAGTTTCACACCACACTATGTGAGAATATTTATTGGAAGTAGATTGTTTTTGTCAACTCTGTATTTTGAAGTGGAATAAAGTATATGTAGAATATGTGTGTGTGTGTGTGTACACCATCATTGCATCTTCTCTCTCTCTCCCCCCCCCCCCCCCCCCCCCCCTCTCAGCAACCAATGAAAAGCTAATGTTGTAATTCATTTTTTCATAACCTGCCTTCAAGGACCCCTCTGCTCGGCTCCCTTGAGTGGTCTTCATGTTCAGGTTTGGCTGCAATACCAACTAAATATTCACCAACAGTGTTACACAAGGAAAATATAATCAATACAACCTAATCTTCGATGTTGTCATTTTAATTACATAACAAATATCATTTTAACACTGTACATTTTATAAACAATTCATTGCCTCGGAATGTGAACAAGCCTTGATTTCAAAGAGCTCAAATCCCTGGTGCCGTATTCTATATCCCATAATACTTGAATTCATTTTCATTGATATTCTGGCGAGTTCAGTCGATGGAAACGTGGAACTACACATTCTTTAAAGACCAAAACTGGCTAAATTACCGAATACCAATGCATACTCACATTCAATGTATCTTTAACATTTTGGTAATTAAAATGAATGAATGAAAGAATGAATCATTCTGAATTAAAAGCATGCATTAAACTGGGGTGTTCTGACAAACAAATTGTCAACCAACATGGGATATTTTACTGCAAATACAAACTAATGAGTGCTAACACATATACACACATGGGACTACGTGCTATTTCAGTAGGCCTTATTCACTTCATCAACTAAACATGTACAACTTAAACAAATTTATCTGGCATATCTTGCTTATTTGTACGGTAGTCAAATTAGTGTTATGTTATTTTTTTAAAGACAATTCCCATAACATCTCTAAATTTAAGGGCGTACATTTTAAAGGCCTAGAATGCATGAGGTCATACATTGTACATTCAATTTCATCATGAAATCTTGGTTCTGACCATATGAAAATGGTTATCTACACACATTTCAATAATATAATCTAATATGCCAGTTGAGGACACTGATTTAATCAAATACATTTTTTTTTAAATGAATCAAAATAAGTGAAGTTCACAAAACTAGGGACTGCTCTCATTTTAGGCTTAGGCATTTTATGTATCCTGTATGTCACAATGCGAGGAACAAGTTACACAGAGTAACGGGTACCAGGCTTTTTGTTTCAAAATGTATTTCACTATATGATACTGAAAAGTCAAGTCTCTAGAATCTTAGAAGGTACATGTATGTGCGTATAAAGCTGCATTCATAAACAAGCTTGATGGCAGTGAATAGGGAATAAATAAATTGTAATTTCCTGTTTAGAGTAACATAAAGAGCAACAAATCAGATAGATGGTAATTACATTTTATTTGATTAAATTGATGGGCTATGTTCCTTTTATCAATGAAAGAAACATGCTCCAACCTTGCACTATAAAAGACTTTTTGTTGCATTTCAAGTATCATTTATTGTTTTCCTAATTGAAAATGGATTTTTAAAACATTTTTTGAAGACAGTGAAAGTACTCTACATGTACATTGTACAAATTCTTCTGGGAAAATTTTTGTCAAAATACATCACCCCAAAAATGGGATATAGTAATTAACTCCAGAAAAAAGCTGCCAGAAATATAGATATAAACACTAAACCCATGTGTTGAGGATGAAAGAAAAATATGTAGCAAAACATAAAAATAATATTTACACAAATTTACAAGAGGAACGAGTTGCATAAAATATCATCATTTGAAAGTGGCCATGAAATATTTACAACCGAGATTAATGAGTTCATAGCGCCCTGGTTCATACAATGAATATCAGTACACTCAAAAGTCTTTAATAATTTGTTACCCAAAGGAGCTTAGGTTAATACCTATCAAAATCCAAAGATGTTCTTTTTCTTTCTTTTTTATGTAAGGGCAGGTCCCTCTGAATTTCTACAAAATAAAGGATTTTCTACAAAAGTATGTACATACAATTTCAGTTTATATCTATAAGTCATAATGATGGCTGAGCTAACAGTGTCCTAATCATTTCCTTCGTACAAGCATTATATAGGACTCTTAATATCCTGAAGTTAAAATATCTTGCACAAAAAGACAATAAAAAAGATCACATTTTATGTGGTAAACATTAAAACAGGAAAACAAGTAAAACCTTGTCTGAGGTACAACTGAAACATTCAGTTCTTATGGCAAGAAACTGGTTTGTCTTATTCCCAATTGATCTACTAATGCCCGGCTAATAACTGTTTACAATCGACAAGATCGTCAAAAAGCTATTAAAATATATGTGCATTGCAATTACTATCTACATGTTTTAGTTCAAGGGGTTTGATCAAATAAACTAACCAAATGCAACTTACATGAAACATATTCAACAATTACAGTTTAAAGTCGATTCCAAATATTCACCGGTAATAGGAAAAAATAAACACTATGAATAATTTGAAAATAAATTTTGTATTCATCTGATTTTCCTTTTTAGGTCAAAGGAAGAGCTTAAGAACGTTTAAATATAATTACTAGATGGAAAGCAGCACGCGCGGAAACCATTACACGAATGGGATTAGGCTCCGCCTCTTTTGGATCATTTGAAGACAAAATAAGCACCTGAGGTGGCTTTCTGATTGGATAAGAGCCTCATGAATATGTATTTTATCGATAGAGCTTAAGAACACCATATTTTTCAATGTAAAAAAGGATCTGTATGAATTTTATCAAGAATTAAACAGTTTTAAAAGGTAATATTGTATAATGAAAGCTAGAGTGCATTAAATCCATGTAAAATAATCAATTGACACTCTCCTGCAATTGATCAGCAAAAGAGAACAAGAGAGAGAGACATGGAGCATTCTATGTGGAGTCATATATTTTCAAGGTTTTGCAAGTAGGGAAAATAAAGTGGCAATAAAAAGCTTTAAAAACATGGACATCTACATATTCAAACGTGGTAAACTTGAACAGACATTGTACTTGTCCTGGCAGATATACAATCTCAGGCTGTATACAAAGGTATAATGTGTGGGGACAGCCTTATCAGATGAAACAATTGAACTCACAATTTGAAAATCAAACAGCTGACCTTTAAAATGTCAAGATAAAGCACCTTATTAATAACATTTTAAAGAATTCAGTTCAGAATATTAGAATATAAACTTTCGTCATAGACTAACAAATATACTCCCGATTGCTATCAAATCTTCCAGAACTTGACCCATATTATTTGCACTTTTAAAGATACATACATGTATACACAAGTCTTAACTGATAGTGATACAAATACAAAATAAATACAACTAAAATCTTGTTTAGACATTGCAAAACAATTATTTAAAAAATCTTATATACACAATAGAAAATCCTATTGTTTTGCAATCTGTTCTATCATTGTTCTGCAGGGGCTTTATAAACTTTTAACAAATATGAAAAGGATTTTCTCATATGTCAAGATAGGAAAGGTCAACAAAGGTGAAAAATCAGAAACAAATGTCAAATTAGATCTGTTTATAGGGTGAAGTCCGAGGGAACAATGAATTATTATGATTGCTTCCCAAAGCTGTTTTTGTTGATACCAAAATGGCACCCCAGAAACTTCCCATGTTCCCTATTCACTACTTCTCATATATCATCTGCTGAGAGCCAAGAGCGAAGGTCAACTCGTATCCTTCAGAGCTATCCCACTTCTGGCTCCTAACAGACCACATCAACAATCATGAAATCCTTAACAACCAGTAGTTGTGGAAGACAATACATTCCTACACAAGCAGAAAATACTAAAAGACTCAACATACAATTCACAATTGTAGCCTTCATTTTTGAGACAATCAGGGAGAATATTCATAAAATGATTTGGATCAAGGTGTGGCAAATAAACTGACATAATCTGGTCATATTTATGCAAAGGTGCAAACTCTATGCATGCCTACTTTCAATCTTACTCACACACATGATATATTGTACCCCCACTAATTCTAAAGTCATAACTAGACAGCCACACAGACAGCCAGAAGGGATGGATGGAAATGTAAAGCGTCATCTTCAGGTATTACCATTTTTGCAGTTTTAGGCTATCAACAGATGAAATTTTGTACAGGAATTCAGGTGATGAATTAATGTGTTTCCAAATTAAAAAAATAAATGGAAGCTCTTACAACATGAGATGAACCATTTTTATGTTAATGGGAAAATAAGTTTTTCCTAATCTAGATCCTCATTTACTGATATTTTAGGACTTCAAGACCAGAAATCACCATCTTGCCATTGCCATTCATATGCCATCACTCAGTGGTTCATTAACGATATAATGCTATCGTTGTACCATGTACCACAGTTGTTGTTCTTTATGTAAAATTACTTAATGAACATCTATAACAAAATATTTTAAAAGGAAAGTTTAGAAGAATACAATCCCACGTGGGGATTCAAATTTTCAAAATTTTCCATTCCACAATGGACACGTTCTCTGAACATTCAAAGTGATGTCTTTTCAAGCATGTTGGAAAGAGGTACATGAAAATCACTTCCCATGATCATCCATGCTTTTCCTTGCTTCCTGTGACTATTGCTCCATACTTTCTCCTTTTCTCATCTGGCAGCAACAAGTAAGTCCCAATCGCTCTCAAATCGACAATCCCTTCTCAAGTACTTGGTATCTCGCTTCTCCTTCTTCAGATGCATGAATTTGGTATGGAATATGCGGTTCGATCAAACACATCAATATAAAGTATCTCTTAATATATCTATATATTTATATATAATCTGGAATCTCTGTAAAATGTTTAACCAGTCACAAGGCTGATTTTTGGAAGATTGTCTGTATGCTGAAGTCCAAAATACCTCAACTGCAGTCGATTTCACGGATATTCTTTGGTATCTCACAAAATTTGTATACCAGCCTCTGCCCGTCGACCTTTGAAAGGATCCCCCTTTGATAGTAGTACCTACCAAGAAACAAAAGGTAAGGAAATAGAAAAATTTGTTAAGAGTAGATATAATATACATCCACCTTTAACCTCATTCTCACTTCTCTGCGTATCTGAATGAACACAGAGAAAAATAGATAGAACTTCGACTGCGCGCAGTCGAAATGATGCCTCCGTCATAGAGCAATTTTACAAACCAAAACAGAAGAAATGTTCAAATTCAAGTTCAATTGTAATCCATTAACAGGTTCTCAGGATATCGTGATTACAAGCAATTTCTCATATACATATATGACCCTTTGATCTTTGACCACATGACCCTAACATCTATTCAGTTCATTGGCTCTGCAAGATGTCCAGAGTTAAATAGTAATCCATCTGTCAGTTCTAATGAGAATGCGTTCACAAGCTATTTTTGCATACATAATGAGCCCATGACCTTTGACCTTTGACCTCATGACCAAGAATCTACTCAGTTCATTGGCTCTGCAAGATACATACATGATCTAAGTTTGGGAGGAATCCATCAATCTGTTCTAATGATAATGCGATCACAAGCTATTTTTGCATGCATAATGAGCCGCATGACCTTTGACCTTGACCTCATGACCCCAAAATTTAATCAGTTCATCGGCTCTGCAAGTAACATACATGACCTAAGTTTGGCAGGAATCCATCAATCGGTTCTTGAGATAACGCGATCACGAGCTGTTTCAGCATACATAATGAGCCCTGTGACCTTTGACCTCGTGACCCCAAAATCTAATCAGTTCATCGTCTCTGCAAGATACATACATGACCTAAGTTTGGCAGGAATCCATCAATCGGTTCTTCAGATAACGCGATCACGAGCTGTTTTTGCATACATAATGAGCCCTGTGACCTTTGACCTTTGACCTCGTGACCCCAAAATCTACTCAGTTCATCGGCTCTGCAAGATACATACATGACCAAAGTTTGGCAGGAATCCATCAATCGGTAACGCGATCACGAAAACGGGACGTACGGACATACGGACGGACGGACAACCCGAAAACATAATGCCTCCGGCTACTTCGTAACGGAGGCATAAAAATACTCCATTTACCTCAGACTATGGTTTTATAAAATTCTATGCTCACAAAGTTAGGCAATGTAGTTGAGCTATTTTAATATCCTTTATTCGGCCATTCATGAAATGTTAATACACATTTAGACTGAGTAACAAACAATTATGAATACGAGTGGAGGAAACAGGCAGAATATTGAATTTGGCCTACAAAGGCATTACTTTGAAAAAGGATTTTTCTTTTTTTCTATTTCTTGACAGGATAAGCTTAAAGATGATGTTGAACTTACCTCAGAGCCCTACCCATGGTCTCATAGTTCATGTCAGGCTTGTTCTTATGTATACCCCATAACTTGGAAACAGCCTTTGAGTCAACCAGCTTGAAGATACCCTGTTCCCTGCTCGTCCACTTGATGAATCTGGGGCACATCTCAGTGTTCTGAAGTAGTTCCAGTAAGAACTCCCAGAGATATGTTGTGTGTGCTGTGTGGAGAAAATATAACTTTTATGTTGACTGTTTCTATAGCAATATCAAAAGGTGCTACATAATTTCTTTTTAAAGGTGAATACAGTGCTTTTTACTTTTATATTAACAAAAATATTCTACATGATCAATCTTTTTTGATCGATTCCACACCCGTTTCTTTCACAATGCAATGGCATGACCAGAACTCAACTTTATCTTTACTGACAGAGTGTAGTGAAACTAGAAATGTCGCGATCTGTATTGCTGCGCAATACAAATGTATCCCCTGGCAGTGGCAGCAATTTTTGTGTCATCCTTATGTTCGAAGGAGGGACAAAGATCCCCTCTCCCTCCCTGAAACGAAAGGATGATGTAGAGATCTCCACTAGTGGCTCCGACTATTGTCAAGACTAGGAGCAGCATCATCAAAACAATATGTGTGTAGATTAAGTATAATGCATCTCTATAGATATTTGAAAGAAATATGTCAAAAAATGTGGCAGTTAGAGCGCACAAAAGACAGGCACCAAAGTATGACCTTTGACCCTACAACAGACGGAACACAGCATCACCAAAACACTATAGATGTGTAGATTTTACTAAAACACACCTCCATACAAAATTTGAGAGAAATCTGTCACAAATGTGGCAGTTAGATTGCATAAAAGACGTATCTTTAGTACACACTAAGGCACCCATAATAATAATAATAGCTAGTTCTTATATAGCGCTTTTCAGGACCGAAGGCCCTCTCAATTCAGAGTCCAGTGATATATCCACTCGTACACAAAACCTCTACAAATATGACCTTTGACCCTATAACAGACGAACACAGGTTGCAGCATCACCAAACACTAAAGATGTGTAGTTGACTAAGATACACCTCTATACAAAATTTGAAAGAAATCCGTCAAGAAATGTGGCAGAAAGAGCACCCAAAAGGGACAAATGACCTTTGACCCTCCAAAAGATGGAGCAATGAGGGCAGCATCACCAAAAAGTAAAGATGTGTAGATTGTTCCAAGATACATCTCTATACAAAATTTGAAAGAAATTCATCAAGAAATGTGGTCTGCAGTGTGCACTCATGCCATCCTGCAAAATATAACCTGTGATCCTATAAAACATTGGACACTGGTGGCAACATCACCCAAAACTATAGGTGCATATATTTTACCAACATACACTTCCATACACAATTTAAAAGAAATCTGTCAAGAAATGATGTAGTTAGACTGCACACTAGAGTGCACACAAGACATCTATCAAAATATGGCCTTTTACCCTACAAAAGACGGAACACTGGGGGCAGCATCACCCATAATTATAGGTGTGAGGTTACCAAGATACACCTCCATACAAAATTTGAAAGAATTCTGTCTAGGAATGTGGCAGTTAGAGCGCACACAACAGGGGATACAATCAAGAAAGGGGAACAAAAGGAGAAAAACAAGAATTTAAAAAAGAATCTGAAAGAAAAGTTACCACTTACCATCTTTGGGCTTTTTCCTGATGCCACCATTTGAAAGTTGAAGAGGCGATTCTGATTTGACCTTTGGCTTACGACCTAGAGGGAAAAAAGATGCCAGTAGATTACTTTGAGATCCCATCAAACATAGCCATTAAAGATCCAAACAACTGCAAACACATAACAGAACTGTAAATACCTTACTATAAATTATTCAACATAAAGTAAGCAGTCGTATCTATACATGAGAAAATTTTGATCTGAAAACTCACTCTTTTTAGACTTTTTATGCCGTTTATGGTCCTTCCCTTCATGGTGATGATGATGTTTGTGATGGTGGTTTTGATGGTGGTCAGAGTCGATGCTGATTTCATAACTCATCTCAATGTTATGTTCTGATGGAGGCTCAAAGGCAAACTGAGATGTAGGAACTGTCAGTACTTGATTAGGGTCCGCTGTGTGTAAAGAATACAGATAATTGGACATCTCATATACAATTAAACCTCCATTTGTATGCATTATAATCCAAGATGGCGGCCCGCATGTTTTGCCTCTGCTCTTAGACCAATATTATTAATTTCAAAGTCATGAAAAGGCACTAAATATCAACAAACATGATCTACAACAACTCCAAATGACAAAATAATCCCAGCCATGAATTTATTTTGAGCATTTGATAGCCAAAAACTTGAAAATTTTCGGCAGTAAAAAAAAAAAAAAATCAAAAAAAAATCTGCCGATTTTTTTCTGATCATTTTAATTGATCGGCGATCGGAAATTATTATCCGATCACCCCTGATCGGATCGGTATCGGCATCCGGTCCGATGATCGTTTACAGGGTTAACTACAATATTATTGAAAATACACCACTTCACAATATATAATTTTGTTGGTCAAATGAGTATGCAATTTATTTATCTATCTACTTACTTTGCCTTAGTGTAGCTTGCATAAGGGTATTGAGTGTTTCCACTGATGGTGTTGCCATTCCCTTCTGTGTGAGCTCTGTAAAAAAATGATAATAAACTGTCAAATGACGAATTTGTCTATTGTGTGATCAGATCAGTGCACTGGGTAGTTGGCACTCTAACCTTTACTAGATCATTAGATTCTGTCCCAATTTGTTGTGAAGTTGCAGTTCGTCAAAATGTAATTGATAATAACAAAATAATATATTATATTTATATAGTGCTTAATACAAAGTTTCCAAGTGCTTAACAAAAATAAAATTAAAGTAATGTTAACCTACAAATTACAACAATATATAATACATGATACATAATTATAATAACAAATTCCTAATAACAATCATACAATAATAATAGTTAATATTTACATAACGCTTTATAGTTTAACAAACAAAATATGATTATATTACATTACATATTGAACAGATAAGTCTTAAGTTTACTCTTGAATGTTTCTAACGTTGGGGACTCGCATATTTCATGGGGAAGATTGTTCCAAAGTTGGGGGGAACAAACAGAAAAGGCACGATTGCCATAGCGGGTGTGGGTGCGAGGGCCTGGGGCTAGATGAAGATGTGCTGTGGATGATGATCGGAGACGCATAGATGAAGTACGAGTTTTAGGAGTGATGAGTGCCGAGAGATATGAGGGAGCAATAAATTCATAAGGAGAGGATGGACATGGACATGGGCAGAAAAAGCTGATGAGTTAAAAGGTCATATAAAGTCAAAACAATTAAAAGGTCATATTAAGTCAAAACAATGGTGCACTCTAACCTATAAGGCTTCAGCATATTATTGGAACACATGTAGTTCTTTTAAGGCGGAGGCCACCTTAGTGACTACAACTACCGTAAATCTCCGTGTATAAGGCGCACCCCTATTTGGGGGGCAAATAAAAAATAAAAAATAAAAAAAATAAAAAATAAATAAATAATAAAAAAAACAAAACAAAAAAAAAACAAAAACAAACAAATCGTTTTTTGTTTTGTTGTTGTTGTTGTTTTGTTGCCGAAAATCCACGCGGGGAAGGACCTTCATTTTACATCGAGGTGCAGTTGAAGTTGTGAACTTGTCACAAATAATAGTAACAACAGTCTAAGGCTTCATGATACCAAGTGACCCACACCAGCCTCCTCACATCACCTAGCAGAAGCAGTGTGTTCTATGCCAAACATTAATAGTCATGCATGATATGAATAGCATCCTCTAAATTTCTGACAATGGAGTACCTAGGATAATTATAAACTACATGTTGAGATCTATTAGAAAGATTACTTTCAAACCAAGATGACAGACAAATTTGAGTGTTGTTGTAGTTTCCGAGTGGTGAGTCAAGACACTGATTACTGAGCTAGGAGCCATTGCCAGGCATAGCGCCATAAATCGAAACTAAAAATAAAAAAAAAAAAAAAAAAATGTCTGTACCTGTGTATAAGACGCAAAAAAGTGCGCCTTATACACGGAGATTTACGGTATTAACATTTGACCTTAATACAGATGTGGTCACTATGACAGGTTTTACTCTTTTTATTACCTCTCATTGTTTCCTCATCAAGATGAATGTGAGAGACTCTTTGTTTCAAGACACCATGTTCATCATCTTCCTGCTCATCAGCGACGCCTGGGTCAATGTTTTCTGCTGGTAGTGGACTGGAAGGCGGTGAGTCTATAAGAGAATACAAGTGTTTCACCACAATATTAGGCCAAGTAGGTACTACTAATCTTGACATTTTCTTTTATTCTTCTATTGAGGATGAGTACAAGCCAGGGGCTTCATATTAGTTTGTATTAGATGTATTTCTCCTTTAATTTTAAATAAAACTTTACATATTTCACATATACCTTGCAGAGTTTCAAAACAAATTGTATGCGCATTACACTAAAGATTTTAGTTAACACATTGTCTAGACTTCTCAGATTCTTGTCATGTCTAAACAAAAAACATCAAAGAACAAATATGTGGGTGGAAATTACGTGGAAATATATGGAAGCAGAAGGGGATGAAATACTTTTCTGAAATTCCTTGCGAATTTGTGCTAATTTTCCAACACAAGTATTACATATCTTTTTCTATGCATCAAGAGCTGAAGAATTCTTATAACTTACATCCAAAATTTGTACACTCTTGATCGAGTGTGATCTATCATATCAATGTTGTACTAGAAAACATATGAACCTCACCTCTACCACCTACCGTATTTGCCGGCGATAAGGCCGCAGCCCCGATTTTGACATTAAAAAAAAAAATTAAAAAATTTGTCGAAGTCAGGATTCGATCTCTTGCGTACAAATGTTGATGTGACTAAAATCACCCTCTATCGGCAGATGTTGTTTTGGAAGTTTATTTTCGTCTTCATGTCGACAATGCAAGATAAAAATTGTTGGTAAGAAGTGTGGAAATGTATAGTTATTGTACCGTTCATAGATCTAGTCCCATATGTGCAAATTCTTGTTGGTTTTGACTTACTTTTTAATTTTTTTTTTCTCTTTCGCCACATAGGCCGCACCCCGACTTTTTGATATTTTCTCTTCCAAAAATACTGCGGCCTTTACGCCGGCAAATATGGTACTCAAGTTCTAAGAACATGACAAAAATTTACATTGAACTACACATACCTCTAATAAAATCTACTGTGATGAATTTCTTCTCCTCCCCATTGGTGGTTGGTGATATGTCTAGCAGTGCATGGGCAGCCATTATAGTCTCATGTGGCTTCTGATGGGCATCTTCACTGTTGGATCTATCGCATGCTTTCACTGAAAAACACAAAGAAAAGAGAAAGAATGTATTTAATGATTCATGGTTCATTAGATCTATCCAGTTTCATTGTGGTCTTATAGTTATACCCATTTCAGGTCATTTTTTCTCATGAAGTCCCAATGAAGGCACAAATTGCCCCTTATTTTCATTTACCTACTTATTAGTTCATTTTTTATATATATATATATATATATATAGGCGTGAAGAAAAAGGTCTAGGAACGTGAGACGTAGCTATTTTAAAAATTAATTTTACTTATTTATTTATCATCTTTTTTTCTTTCTTTCTTTATTGTCATATATTTATTATTGTATAGTAAAGGAGGGAGTTTTCGGCTGGTCCGTTGGATGCATGAGAAAATCCCTTTGAAATACATTGCATAATAGCATATCACAACATGCCAGAGTCACTGAAGAACCACATGTATTTGCAATGGAAAATGTATCCTTAAATATCACATTTTAGCGATGTAATCAGCAGTCCCGCTACCCGAATCTGAAAAATCAAGTATCTTACGCGTGTTTGTAAGGAATATGGGTACCATAAAATGAGCCGTATTTCAAGTATTTTTCAGACTTTGAGCACGATTTTGTGTGAATCGCAAGCTCAAAAGTATCTCATCGCATGTATTAAATCAGTGCAGCCGGATACTATAGCACACACGATATCTCGGCGCACGCGCTTGCTTCCTATTGTGGCGGAAAAACTACCTCTGAAACAGCGAACATGAAAATGAAAATTGCCATGGCAATTCATGATCTTTTTCTGGGATTCTTTTTTTTTGTTTAAATAATAATATTGGCTTCATGATTTGAACAAAAAAATGATAATAAATAGGACGTTAAGAGTCCAAAAATAGGATTTTGCCTTAAGTGGCCAAAAACTGCCTCCTCTACTCTAGACTATATCTTTTTAATTAATTTTTTATATATAATTTTTTTATATATAATTTTTTTTCTGGGGGGGGGGGGGGGGTTAAAGTACTGACAAATCTTCCTAATTGGGTCAGGGAGGAAGGTAAAGAAAAATCATAAAGGAACTTGGCATGTACTTTTAAACTTATTTTTTTATACAATGGATACATTTTTTTCTTTAAATTTCACATCTACATTACATTTTTTGGCAAATAAAATGACAAAACACTTGAGTAACAGTGTGTTTACAAGACTATATTTCAAATTTTATTTAATGTATCAAAAACATAACACAAAAGTATCACAATAACATCTGAATTTCACAGACAATCACTTGACAGGTCACAAATACAATGAGAATTTTTTCGCCAACAGAGTTCTACACAAGAACACAACATGATACTAATTTGTCGGCCGGTTGGCAGAAGGGCGTTAGCATGCGAAACAACTCGAAAACTACTTTTCAAATTATTCGCATTTAAAGATTTGTTTTATATTTAAACTGCTTTCCATCCCGAAAATTGGTTCAAAACATTAAAGACTAATACTAATAGACATATTGTAGACCTAGTAGAACACGGCCACAATTTTTTTATCGGAAATAAGTCAGTTTTATAAAAGTTTGAGGCGATTTAGTGCTAACGTCCTTCTGATTAAAGTTTCGATCATTATTGACCTGAAATTTGTTTTTGTTATAGACTAGACCTCTAGACCTAGACTCTACTCTAGATCTATAGCTTTTTCAGAATTTGAAGACGAGCGCATCAATCGTAGGGGTAGAACGCTTAGACCCAGGTACCGGCCTCCATATTACTACACTTGTAATTTTCTATGAATTTCTAACTTAATCTTATTCATATGAGAAAAAAACACGGACCATGTCATGACCATGCAGGCCAGGCTAGGCCAGGCTGCCAGCTCCAGCATGCCTGCAACACTCTGGCTCAGTCACAGCAGCTGCTTCAATACGGAATGCACGTTGTATCAATGGCACTTCCTGGTTTGTATAATTATGGGCATCCCATAACAAAGACTCATTGCAAAAAAAAGGGCAAATCAAGACGGGGTTTAACAATAAATTTACCCTGAATATCATAACTACTATCGAATTTTGATTCCCTATATTGAACTGATACTTAATTGATCACAAAACACACAACCGAATTTCATCATCATGAAAATTGCGCGAAAAAAGAATCATTTACAAATACCGGAAGCGATTTCCCTCAATTGACCACGTTGTGTTGATAACCCACGGAGCGTTGCGTAGGCAGCACTTCCGTGTTTATATTCACACGATCATTTACAACTTAAAAGCACATTTCGGCGGGATTAAATCGTCTTTAAATTAAAGACTGAAAAGATGAAGAATTCAATCTCCGCTCACATACCTGCTGCGAGCAAAAGATCCAAATTTCTAGGCTTTTCCGACGACATTTTCTATCGCTTGCTAAATTTCACGTATCCACACAGTACAGGCGATCGATCTGGGCCCTTCTCAAAAAATCGCGCAGCAAAATGCTGGCGATTTGCGATCGCGAGCGTCGAGCACAACACAAAAATTAATCCGCGTGTGCGATACCGGAAATAATTTGCATATTGGTTCCGTAGTGGTTTCCCGAGTGGTTTATACGGCGCGTGCGGTATAGTCTTTCAAAGTGTTTTAAATTGTTGTTAGCTCTTACTTCCAATCAACATAATGAACTATTATTAAACTTTTTTCTTCTTAATAACAGAGCCCATGGGCAGAGGTCTGATCAGCTTGAAGAAGGGGGGGGGGGGGGGGGGGGGGGGGGGGGGGTGCTTTGCATGGAGAGAGGGGCCGAGGATGTCAAATCCCCGGTATGCTATGCTTTCGTGTTAGATGGAAATATTTGGAAAAAGTAAGTCAGTATATATAATTCAAAGTAGAAATAACTATAAATATTATTGTACTCTCATACCTCGAGAGGGGGTCGAACGAGTCAATACAAATATTACAAATCAAATCTTACGATTCCATGGCATATATTGGTGTTTGCACAAACGGAATGGAGTGTGTGTGTGGGGGGGGGGGGAGGGGGGGGGGGTGAGTTGAACCGGGCAATATACCCGGGATTGTAATCAGTATTAATATATAGTTATTATCTTTTTACACACAATAAAACACAAGGAGAGTAGGCCTGTGTATATGGTTAAGCACCATACAATAATGCTTTCACCTGCTAGTGCAAATGTGCAAATAATTCAGTTGCACTAACTATTCTGCACTTAGATGGGTTATTATATAGCTCAAATTAGTTGCAATCTATTCGGATCAATCGAAACTTTTTCCAAGACGAGACTCAATTGTAGGCCTCTTCTTCCATAAAAATAAACATAAACAAGACATAATTGGACTCAATCAGAATAATCCACCCCTAAAAAATAATAATCTAACACGGTGAAACATGCGTAATGAAAAAATTATGAAATAAACCCCATCAAAAACATTCTCACACACAATCAGGCCTATTCATAACGCATTCCTTTCGTTAGCGACCTGGCAGATTGCGCCAAGTGTTACGAAAAAGTGGAAAAGTGGAAGTATGAAAAACTATGAAACAATAAAATTCACTACAATTATTGCCAACTTGGATATCAGTTTGTGACGTCATTTGCCTCACTATAATTATATTTTTATCCCATTAATTTCCCTTTTTATCCCCAAGAACTTACCCAGATTATATGATTTGTATCATATTACATGCATGACATTTCACAATCTTTTATGATTTTGAAATATTAATATTATTTTCGGAATACTGTATAATTATTAGTATTAATTTTTACATAGTTTATTCAAATTCACATTTGTCATGATTGAACAGAATTTTTAAAAAATCACTCTATATTAGTGCATCCACCCAAACATAGGGCCTATTTTACTATCAATATAACTTGGATGCTGGTGCATGTGAGGAAATTAGATTTTAAGGGGCAAGGTTGGAAATTAATATTATCAATATAAAGAAAACAATTAGTGGATAGTGAGGCAATGACGTCAAAAACTCTGAGCGAGTTGCCAATTTGTGTAGTGATTTTCAAAGTTTTTCATGTCACTTAAACATTCATAACTTTCTTATTAGTTATCCGATTTTGCTCAAACTTTTTTTGTTTGGTTTGTCTGATTTTTCTGCTTCTATTGAAAGTAAGTTGTTATTGGAGTGGACTTGCCCTTTAAGCACTCGAGACAGTCTCAAACCAGCAACCGAATATGTTTATGTAACATACAAAATGATGAAGACTATCTGTTAAAAGCTCCACTCACTGTACTTGTAGTGTACTTCTATAAAGGGACACTACATACTTGTAGTAGTACTTGCTCCCTATATTATAGAAAACAACTAGCAGGACCCGCGGAAATCCGCGGGATTCTAGAGGGGGGCGGGGGTCTAAATAGATACAGAGACTGTCTAAATTAAAACCACCAAGAACTTTGCCTGCCATTCAGGCCATTAAAAAAATATACATGTTGAGCGTCCCCGCCCGATTCCTTTTTGGGGGCCGCCTCCTATTTTTTTTTTTGAAATTTTTTTGATTTTTTTTTTTGAAAGAAAAAAAAACAGCGTCCCTGCCTGCTTCCTTTTTGGGGACCGCCTCCTATTTATTTTTTAAATTTTTAAAAAAAAATTAAAAATTTTTAAATTTTTTTTGTAATTGTTTAATATTTTTTTTTTTTTTTTTTTTTTTTTTTAAAGAAAAAAAAAAACAGCGTCCCCGCCTGCTTCCTTTTGGGGGCCGCCTCCTATTTTTATTTTTATTTATTTATTTATTTTTTTTTTTTTTTTGAAAGAAAAAAAACATGAAAAGCACTGCTAAAATGTATTTCTGTTTTTAAAAAAGAAAAAAAAAAATTGTCGGCCGCCATCTTGAAAAATAGCCAGAGTGTCAGGGAAAATGTACGGAGCGGCCATTTTGAAAAAAAAAAGAAAAAAAAAGGGCCTCCTCCTTCCCATTTTTCGAAAAAAACAGGACGCTAAACATGTTTTTTTAAAATTTGGCCTTATATATAAAAAAAAAAAAAAACGATCCAACTGTACCTGTAGTTATTCTTTAAGCCA